CAAGGAAGTAATCAATGCCCCTGACAGATTCATACGAAAATAAATAATGGATGTTGGATCACATCATTGATAGAGCTTTGTGTTTACGCTTGATTGATAAAGATCACACACATCATGTTGTGATTAGGGTTTCGTGGTGCAATTTTGATTGATACAAAAGAAGACAGACTGATTGGATGCTGTCTTATGTGGATTGATGTACATATACAGACAGCCTCGTTGTACGACATAGTTACACACTACTGTATAAGGACGCTGGACCCGATTTCCAGCTGACACACATCACATCAGTGTAATACACATCACATCCGCGTTAGGGTTCCTTTGGATAGATAAGATTCAACACGATGCTTGTTTTGGAGATACTGTTGATCAGACGGATAGGGTCTCCCCATCAGCTAACATATATAACTGCGATTTCGTCAAAACGGGAATTTTTTATTTTTTGAACGAAATTGGACGTCCATTTGTTTGCCTCAATTGTCTTCATTTGCGAATGATTTTTTAGAGGAGAAGGAAGGGTAAGTGGTAAGGGGTAAGGGATAAGGGGTAAGCGGCAAGGGGTAAGGGGTAAAGGTAAAAGGGTAAAGGGTAAGGGGTATGGGGTAAGGGGTATGGGTCAGGGGTAATAAACTGGGGTAAGTGGGTAATGAATTGGGGTAAGGGGTTAGGTGTAAGTGTTTGTCACATACTCATTTATTGCCTCCGTAAATCATTCCTACGTTAAAAAAAAAATTCGTAAGATGTTTGTCTTGAACGACCAGTTAACTTTTTCTTTCGACCGCATCATTAATCCTGAATATTCTTGTGAGCTCGTTTTCTCATATTATCACCTCTACTTATACTGACTGCATGGTCCTCTCATAGGCTTGGACGACTATTGTACCCGACTCATATATCTACTCCACAACAGCTACATCGAAAGTTATCCGGCATCGTAGTCTCTTAGTGTCATCTGATATCGATGTGAATAGTGGCAAAAACCCTCTCGCCAATAGGGATACATGTGTGAGCATAAACACACCGCACTCGTTGAAGTTGCGCTGCTTTGAAATACCTTCCACTTCCCATCGATTGTTGAAGTTTTTCATGTCAATCTCTTGGCCTTGTTCGACCAATCTCATGTACAAAAATTTTATGGACCCCCCTGTCACCTTCTTTGCGAGTTGAACATCGCCGGCGAATCGTAGTACTCAAATTTCATACTCCTAAGGTCTTCCACTACGAGTGTCCAATGTTGGTTGTGCTCGGCATGAAAATTTTAAGGTGCAATAATCAAATCCATGTCGCTTATCACAACCTCTATGAAACATTTTCGAACCATATCATACTGAAACTTCATTTTGCTATCAAACAGTCTGGCAAAGAAAAATGAGCTGAGAATTGTTATTTTAGGAATGCACCCCTTTCTGGTTCTAGCCATATTCTCGTTCTTCAAGTTGCAATTCTCGTGATTCACACGACATTCGTTGTCTAGTCGAAGGAGGTTAAGATAAATATTCATTATCTCCTCGTTCAACCATTTTTTTCTATTATAAGCAAGCTAAAATCGTTCACAGTCATCATCACTTTTTCTTTCGTGTCTTCGTTAAATGAGCTTGCTATGATGTCTTTATTTCCGATTTGCACTAACAGTCGCGTGAGTGCCTCCATCTCCTACTCCGTCAAATTCGTTGTTGCCAAGTGTACGGTCCATCATTTTTTGCACCTCCAATGCTCTTGTATAAATGGCTTGATGGCAAGTCATAAAATTTATGTTTATATTCCAAACGATTGTTCATGCATAGACAATCGAACAACAATTGAGCCTTTTCCGATAAAGCAGGTTCTCCCACCCCCTTGTTTTTGCACTTGACACGAAACATGATTTCGCTTTTAGGTATTTGCAACTATATATCTTCTGCAAGTCTGGGTTTGGATTTCTATCCTGATGATAGATGTGATGCCACCATCCACTCTCCCTTGTAAATGCACGACTCGAACACATGCGTATGCCATAAAATGTGATGCCCCCACTTCTCGAACGACGTTTCTATCACCTTATCTTGAATGGCGTACGTGTGTGCACTGTTCCACATAATGCAGTCGGGAATATCATCACCTGACATGAGCTTTGTGATGGCACCTTGAACAGCAAGGTCATCCTTGTGAGTGTCTTTCAGCATATCATGACCCATGTTTCCTCCATATGTTTGGTCTCCCCGAAACCTGTAACGATTGCCATAAATGATAGTATTCTCAAGTGCTTGGAGTGACGTTGGTTAATCCTTCGAAATGCTTTAACGAAACTTGCCCTGTCGTTCATATCAGGCACAGGACTACTCACAACTCCCGAGTTTGTGCGACCTCCTTCCGGATTTTTGTTCTGTACGCGGTATTCGGACACACTTTGCACTCTGAGTCTCTCTCCAACACCTCCACCCTCTCGCAAACTTTTCACCCGCAAATCGATTTCAAGGTCCGAGTTTTCTGTCTCTTCGTCGCTCTTGATCGGACGCCACCTATTTGTTCTCTTAGCGATGTCACTGTAGTCCGATTTCTCACGAACTTCAGGTCTTCGTATCGTGCTACAAACTGCGCAAACGCGCCCACCTGCGCTTTGTGGTCACCGCTATATGCTTCCCAAGCCATCACTTTGCAAATTATGTAGTCGTGCTCGAATGACGTCTTGGGTTGCCCTTGAAACAGGTACTCCCATATCTTGTATCGCCCAGCTTATGGTACATGTCCCTGTTCGGACAGTGTGCAGTCTTCGGTCTCTCAACCTTGCAATCGTTTCTCCTGTCATTTCCAAGAATGTCGATGGCCTTCGTCAAGTACGAAATGTCTTTTGATGACGCATCACAGGCAAAAACATGGTAGCCCACGTGCAAAAGCCCCCACACAAGTCCAGCATATGACTTTTCAAGAAGTATCACCTCCCGATCCTCATACAAAAACGAACTGCACAACCTCTGCAACCGTGACGGTTGTCCTTCCCACCGTCCATATTCCTCTATTTCGTTTCCTTCATCGTCGCTGTGCTTCACCGTGCACCTCTAAAAATAGTATTCCTCAACGTTCAGCTCCACTACCTTTGGCTCCGACCGAGGAACCCTCGTGACCTTCTTGAGGTCGCCGCTCTCGGCATGTAGGACGATCACCATCGTGTCCTTGTTCCCAACTTGCAAGTTTTCGTATTTGCTGACAGCCATAGCGCTTCCAAGTCTAAGGTATCACCTCTACGTCCTCCTGATTGTAAAGTTGTCGCATTACGATGTTCTGTTGTTTTTGCGGTGCAAAAACGATTAAAATTCAATAATTTCCGCACAATTTGGACCTGTATAGCATCGTGTTCAGGTTCAGAAAGTTGGGGACCGAACGCAAACGAGCATTGAAACTCTCCGAACATGAAAAAAAAAAAAAAAAAAAAAAAAAAAAAAAAAAACTCCAAAAACTCTGAAAATAATATATGTTATTTAAAATGCTAATACAAACAACTTTTGTCTGGGAGGTATGCTTAAAGTTGTAACCAAACTCGAGTTGAAGATCAAAAACCTTTTTTTTTTTTTTTTTTTTATGAATATCTTTGGACGAACACGTTGGAGAGATATTGGGCCGAACACCCGAACATGTTCGGACGTTCAGAAAAGCACTGAACATGTTCGGTGTGTTACATAGATTTTGACATCATTTTGTGTATAGCATCGAAATCGGCCGGCGACCACGCAAAGCAATGTGACGGGGTTGCAAGATCGAGGATGACAGTCTTGCAATTTAAGTTTGTGATTACGGTCACTACTTCGTCGGCCGCGGACAACAACTCCTTTGGCTGCATGCTGATCGACAATAATGTTGACCATCACCCTTTCTTCTCCCAATACAGATGAAGCGCAACGTTCTTTAACCGACGCAACTCTGCTGTCAGCAAGTCCACCTTCCCTATTGCCTAGTACCCGAAGAACTTAAAATGGAACGGCGAGTCCCTGTACAACACCTCCATGGGCTTGAGGCCAACTCCTATCAGGTCTTTCTCCGCTTGCTCTCCTCCAAGTCTTTTCGGAACCTTCTGGACGTACCCCGAAGGGATCCTATCCCTTTCCTTGTCTCATTCATCCGCTTTCACACCAAACCTTCGCGTCATTTCTTCATAGTCAAAGAAGAACCCCTCCTTCCACTGATTCATTTTTTTGTTCTCCGATTTAAAGACGATGTAGTTGAACAGATGCACCATGTACCTCTCGCGCATTATAATGTCGAGGAGGTTGGTTGTGTTCAACTTCACTGGAGGAACCAGTTTAATTGTGGCGATGACTTTCTTATTGATCATCAACCGCAAAGCGATTTCCTTCTCTCGCGTCGTCATATCTCCAAAATATTTGAAGTTCGACGACACAAGATCTTTGAAGGACACTGAGGCATTTGCTCCCCCATCCTTAGCTTGAATGCAATGGAAGACCTACTTCTTCCCCCGCACCTCTTCAACGAATTGGCCCAACACCGGTCCCTCCTGCCTCCTTGACAAGTCCTTAGGGCACTTATTATCATGTAGTGGCAACTCCCCTGCTTCAAACTTGTCAAAAAACTCCTTCACCAATGGGCATATCCAGTTCCTGCAAGTGGCGACATTCATGTATCCCCTTATCCTGCTCGACCAGTCATTTTGCCACTTTGGACACAAAGCCTCTATCCATAAGGTTTTTTGGCACGACCGCCCCATACAAATTTTCATGTATTGTCGTCACTCTTCCTGGTGCGTTAGACCCGCGGGGTCCGTTTTCGACACGTTCCCCACGGGCGCGATCCTCGTCCTCAACACCCAAAAATTTCAGATGTCTTGATAGGCTAGGTGAAACGACGGCAACATAGCATGGTCGTCTCTCGTGTTGTCGTATGTTGAAACATATACATACCTATTCTTGTGATCGTCGTCGAAATAAATGATATGCACATGATCATACGTTCGAAAGCCGAAAATGTCCACAATTGTGGATCCCTTCGCCACTTCTCTTTTCATGGCCTCGGAAGTATGCTGCCCGACGAATGGATAATAGAACTACTCGTCTGCCCTATCGGGATCGAAGTCCGTTGGAACGATACGTGTTCCTTGCTCATTCGGATCTGTCGCCGAGGGTATAATCAGAGCCAGCACCAACTCCTGTGGTTCCCATGGAGAAGTACCATCCTCTTCCCTCAGACCAATTGATGACTCAATTGCCTCCTCGAGGCCTGCAACAATTGTCGGGTTCAGCGATCACTGATTGAAGGCGATATCTCCCTCGGGAGTTTGAAGAATCTGCATGACATCAATCACCACCCTCGGCGGGTTTTTTCTTTTTCTGCCTTGCTCATCGTACTTGAGGAAGAAGCATTGCGCCATGTTGATCGGACTGGGTTTATTTGTTTCTAGGCCGTCGTCGCCATGGCCCATGGAGGTCGACACACGAGGGTCCACCCGTTCAGCGTAGTTGCTGGAGTCATCCGATTTGGGGCGCCTTAATGACCGCATGTTCTTCTTGGGCTCTGACGTTCTACATACCCGACCACTTGCTTCGCGTTTCATAACGGGTTCACTAGACGTCCCCTGCGATGTATCCAAGGCGACCCGAGCTTCATCGATAGTTTTTCTTCTAGCCTGTTTCTTTGGCGCGGTTGACGTAGGGGACACTTTCGCTTCACGCTTTCCCCTCCCCTTCAAGGCTTGCCCTGCCGAAACACCGATATCTCCTCCTTCCTCTTCCAATTCTTCCGCCTCCATATCCCCACCAACCATACCGTCCTCGTCCATCCCACCACTTGCCACACCTCTTTCCCACTCCGTATGTCTCACCGTTACATCGCAATGGTTGTCCCCACCTTCATCGTGTTCGCGTCCCCCGCCACTACCACACTCCCCTTCCTGTTCGTCATCTTCCCCATCGTCCCCGAACCGGGCACCGCAACCTCCACCAGCTTCCCACCCCACATTCAAGTCGCAAGAGCCTTCGCCCCGCATATGCCCAGGTGCCGTTAAGAACCGTGCATCCAATTGACGAACCCGATGGTCTTCCTCCGTTCACTCCTCCAACTCCTCGACGTCGAATTCCTCTTGTTGGGTATCCTGCGAGCGCGAGCTGCCGGCAACACCAGAAGGTCGTATGAGTTGCGAAGGACGTGTGGCGAGCACCTTCATCTTCGGAGGCTTGTCCGATGACCCTCTCCCCGAATGCCTCGAGTAATTAATAACTTATCCTTGTTATGAACTGGAAGCGGTGTTGACACAATCTGGCGCCGATTGCCAAAGCACATCGATAAGCCTGCGAGACTTTCGACAGGAGCATCGAACGACACAAGAGGCATAATGAGCTGGTGACCAGCCCCGACCGTCGGGTACTGACCACTTTTTCTATAGCCCTTGGTCTTGTTGAGGAAATCAATGGGATAGAGCATCCTGAACTCACTTGATCCCCCTTGACGTCGAAGGCTTTTATCGCGAATGTCTTCTGACCATATCCGTTGAACAGAGCAAGGTCGAGGCTGACTTTTTGGTCAGTTTTGACCCAGTCGGTACCCTGGTCATCATACACCGAAATGAGGAAGAACTTCCTCAAGTCGCGCTCGTCGACCTTGCCCTTCTCTGTCGTCGCCTTGTCAATTTCGGACCTCATGATGCCAGCACAACAGTACCAGGTTGTCCCTTCATCCTCCGTCAAGAAAACAACAGCACCACATGTGGCCTCGTTCGTCCCGCTGACCCAGTCGAGAGCCCATAGCTTGTCTCGGTAGAGTTTGGACCTATTGTTGACTCTTTTCTCTCCATCTTTCAAACGTTTCCGACATCTCCCAGGAGGGAAATACAAACGCAACAAAACGAGGGAGTTGTCGAGTGTTACCGCCATATCGCCAAGAAATCGGACAACCTCATAAAGCGATGTTCGCGGCATGTCAAACAAGCCTAAAGAACGTTGTCAGCATTCAGTGACCGGAAGCATTACACCCATGAAGAAGAGAACACATTGTGACTAACAGAGGCATACACACATTGGAACCCCCATGGCATGCATGTGGCGAGGGGGACCATGCGTTTCATAAACGTCGCACCCTCGTTTCCCAACACGGAACAGCGGAGGGTCGGCAGGTGTCCCCCCCTCCCCCCCCCCGACATCGATGCATTTGGGTTCTGGCAACCTTCTTCGGTGCCGCTGAGCACGCAGGGTCCGATGTTTGGCAAACACCGAACCCTCAAGCAAAACAATGTTAGAGAGGGTCCGACATTTCAAAAACGCCGAACTTTTTCACGGCGCCGAACCGGAAGAGGATCCGACGTTTAACAAACTGCGAACACTCGAGCGGAATGACACCGACGAGGGTCCGGTGTTTGGCAAACGCCCGACCCTCACTGGTGCCGGTCACTCTAGGAGAGGGGGGAGGGGGGGGGTCCGGCGTTTCGCAAACACCGGACCCTAAAGCGAGACGATGTCGGTGAGGGTCCGGCGTTTCACAAACATCGGACCCTTTCACGGCACCAAACCACTAGGGGGGGGGTCCGGCGTTTAACAAACGTCTGACCCTGCAACGGTTCGTTGACCAGATAGGGTCGGGCGTTTGGCAAACGCTGGACCCTCGCCGTCGTCGTCCCACTTGAGGGTCCGGTGAACCCTCACCAACACCAGCCGACTTGGGTGTCGCTGCGCGCGCGGGGTCTAGCATTTGGTTCGACATTTGGCAGACGTCGAACCCTTGAGCGGGACGATGTTGGTGAGGGTCCGGCGTTTCACATACGCCGAAACCTTTCTTGGGTAAGGACCGCAAGGGCATCGGGGGTTTTACAGACGCCGGACCCTCAAGCAGAACGACGCCGGCGAGAATCCGGTGTTTGGCAAACGCCGGACCCTCGTCGGCAATGGTCACTTTGGGAGAGACGCGGGGGAGCCGGGAGGATTCGATCCCCTCCTATGTCGTGTTACAACGCCTCCTCTGTTACATTAGGACCGCCAATCCCCTCCTTCGTGGCATTACCTCGCCACCTACGAGGCATTGGGATCACCAATCCATCGTCAGGGACAACCACTTTTTTGAAGAAAGAAAGACGATAATGATTTCAATTTGTGAGGGGTAGGGAATCGATCCCCTTCTCGTGGCATTCCCTCGCCTCCTACGTAGTATTAGGATATCCAATACATCAC